CAAATAATGCATTCTATTAGCGTGTAAAAAAAAGACTTGGGGGGCTTTCCTGGTGGCGCAGTGGTTGAGAGTCCGCCTGCCGATGCAGGGGACACAGGTTCGTGCCCCGGTCCGGGAAGATCCCACATGCCGCGGAGCGGCTGGGCCCGTGAGCCATGGCCGCTGAGCCTGCGCGTCCGGAGCCTGGGCTTCGAAACGGGAGAGGCAAAAAAAGAGAAAGGCCCAGGAAACAAAAAAAAAAAAAAAAAAAAAAAAAGACTTAGATCAGTACAGACATTTTTAAAGATGAGAAGCTGTCTGCTTTAAACTTTTCTGAAGATTAAACAAACAACATAAGTGTCTCAACTTCTGCTAGTCAAATTCATTGAATGGTTATACTCTGTTGCAGGCTGTAGTGGACTCCATTTTAGCCATTAAAAAACAAGATGAACCTATTGACCTCTTCATGGTTGAGATCATGGAGATGAAACATAAATCTGAAACCGATACAAGGTAGGTGGTAGAATGCTATGAAATAAAGAGTGTTTACAAACTCGAAGGAGTTTATACAATACATATATTTTGCCTGTTTTTTTTTTTTTTTGTCTTTGAATTAACGTATATTGCCTAGATGAGTATTTCATTTACTCAGTAGTATCTGTTTCCTCTTGAAATGAAGTTAATGGTATGTATTTTTACATAGAATGATTCTGGATAGTCAACTACATCAGTCATTTGGCATTTATTGAACAAAGCATATGGGAGACTTCAGGGAATTTTAAAGAAAATTATTTAAAAGACCTAGTTTGGAAGCGTTTTTTAAATGAGGTGATCACAGTTTAATAGCCTACCAAACTTGTGACTATTTCTCTGCAGAATCTTCTGCACAAGACGGGGTTGTTACTTTCATTTGAATGGCTTGTTTTTGTCATGTTCTGGAATTCTGCTTTTTCACAATTGAACCTTGCTACGTATTACCCAAAAGTCCTGTTCAAATAGCTCAAGAAATAAAGCTGATTGTGTGAAAATTATCAATACAGTCTCAATTCATTGTTTTAGTTTTGTTAGCATATGTTACACCCCATCTGGAAATCAATAAGAATATAATTTTTATGTGTTGTAACAGCTTGATCAGAGGTCTTGTTTTGGACCATGGGGCACGGCATCCTGATATGAAAAAGAGAGTAGAAGATGTGTACATCCTCACATGCAACGTGTCATTAGAATATGAAAAAACGTGAGTTTATATATATCTCCTTAAAAATGGAAGAGAGGTGGAAGAGCTTGATATTTGGGGTAAGTCACTTTTTTGTGAGAATCAGTTTCCTGGCTGTACGGACAACAATGCCTCGATGGGGTTTCGGAAAATTACAGGAAATAGTCTCTGAAAACGTACCAGGGGTAGAATTGGAGCTCGGTGACTATTTGCTAAATATTTCCTCCCCTTTCTGTAACTTCCTTTTTTTAGAGAAGTGAATTCTGGCTTTTTTTACAAGAGTGCAGAGGAGAGAGAGAAACTAGTGAAAGCTGAAAGAAAATTCATTGAAGACAGAGTTAAAAAAATAATAGACCTGAAAAAGAAAGTCTGTGGTGATTCAGATAAAGGATTTGTTGTTATTAATCAAAAGGTGAGAAATTTTGTTTCATAAACTAGTGTGTATCTTTTTATTTTAAAGGTAAAATATTGAAACATTTTTTGTTGTTGTTAACAGGGAATTGACCCCTTTTCCTTAGATGCTCTTGCAAAAGAAGGCATAGTAGCTCTGCGCAGAGCTAAAAGGAGAAATATGGAAAGGTACGGATACAGATTATCTGTGATGTGAATTTAACTTATTTTGCAAGTTAACTTAAATTATTCCTTTTTTTCCTCTTATTTTTGTGATTTTTCTTATTTTTTATTGCGATAAATATACATAATATAAAATTTATCACATTACCTGTGTTTTCCAGGATCACATTTCTTTTTAAGGATAATATTCCACTGTATGGGTATATACCACATTTAGTTTCATTTATTCCTTTATCTGTCAGTGGACATTTATTTGGGTTTCTGCCTTGGCTGTTGTGAATAGTGCTGCTATGATTGTTGATATACTTGTTTTATTTTTAAATGATGACCTATACCGTACATATTTTTCCATGTCAAGAGACAGCATCAAGGGTTTCAGAGGAATACTTTCTTCCAAAGAGCTCACCATGATGAAGAGCTCTGTGCACCTTTAGATTTCATATCAGAGGAGTATTTGCTGACTTAAGAGTGGCTTAAATGGAGAGTTAGGAGAAAAGACCAGTTTTCAGCTAGTTGGTGGTGAATGGAAAGGCTTAAGCTAAAATATATTTTAGAGTATAATTTTCGCATGTAATTCTGATAAAGATTGCTTTCTAAAAATATTAATCTCTAAACATAACTAATAAAATCCCTTCTGCATCTCCCTTAAAACACTTGAATATTTCAGGCTGACTCTTGCTTGTGGTGGGGTAGCCCTAAATTCTCTTGAAGACCTAAATCCTGATTGTTTGGGACATGCAGGACTTGTCTATGAATATACATTGGTAAGTGTATTTTCTTTCCAAAATAATACTTTTTGGCTCATGAATTCTTCAGTAGTTAAAAATTCATTCAAACTTCGGATGATATTTTTGCTTTGTTAATATACATTTTCATGATTTATATGTAGTAATAAGCCATTGATGGGAAAATCACATTTCTTTTATGTGACTTTTTAAAAGAAGTTATTTGCTTTAATGTGATCAGTGCTGTGCCCTATTAATATGCTACTTATTCCTTCATAAGGCCCTCTCATTTGGTCATTCTTTGCACAACCGTATCCTGGTTTTTGAAAATACTGTCTCTTCACACAGGGAGAAGAGAAGTTCACCTTTATTGAGAACTGTAACAATCCTCGATCCGTCACATTATTGATCAAAGGACCAAATAAGCACACACTTACTCAAATCAAAGATGCAATAAGAGATGGCTTGAGGGCTGTTAAAAATGCTATTGATGATGGTAAGATCGTCACTGTATTTAAATTATATTCTTTTGCTAGTCTAAAAGGCATGGCTGAATACTGTGTTCTTTTTATCAGTAGTTTACACAGCCAGACACCATGCAAAAGTAAAGTTTTACCTTTAAAATGGCTATGATGGTATGCTAAGTTTTTTCATGGCATGCTGTTGTTAAAAGAAGGTACAAATAAATGAACTAATACGAAGAGCTTTCAGGATTTTCCATGTGCTAGTTAAATCATTCTGCTGTTTGATAATGTTGCCTGTATTGCTTTCAAATGTAATACTAAAATTGCTGTGGTTATACTGAATTCTCAAATTAATGGATTTCCTGTGTGTTTTAATTTATATATTTTCTTACAATTGCCCATACAGTTTTATTTTCTTTGTAGCTTAGCATTTCTCTCTTCCTCCCACCCAACAGGCTGTGTAGTTCCAGGTGCTGGTGCAGTGGAAGTGGCAATGGCAGAAGCCCTGATTAAATACAAGCCCAGTGTAAAGGGCAGGGCCCAACTTGGAGTTCAAGCATTTGCTGATGCATTGCTCATTATTCCCAAGGTGTGACTGCTTTAACTGTTTTCTAAACTACACCAAAATGATTCATCTGATGAAAACTTTTTGCTAATGTGGGTTTTTTCATAATGTGGATTTTGAATAAAAAGGGTTCATCAGTTTTCACCCTAACACTAGAACAGGTATTTCTTATTATCTGAACGTATTGGTTCCTCTGGAGGGGAGGCTTGAATATCTGATGTTTCAGATGGCAAGAGATAGCTGTTTTAAGAGGGTTTGCAGTGTGCGGGTACAAACTTGAGATGGCAAGAGATAGCTGTTTTAAGAGGGTTTGCAGTGCGGGGGTACAAACTTGCTTTTTGTTTTTGTTTTAAACTAAGGTTAATACTGTGATTTTTCTATTGTATGCTTACTTGAGGGTACAGTTTATGACCAGTGTATTGCCGGGCTTGGGGTGGATTAGTGAGTTGGTTGGTAATGTATATCTAGTCATTCTCTAAAGTGAACATAAATACCGGTCTGTTTTCACTTATTAAAGGTTTGGTTTTTTGTTTTGTTTTGTTAACTATTAATTGGAAATACTGTTCATTTATTACAGACTTGACTATCTGTTATTAGGTCCTGTCTTTTAAATAAATTTGTTTCCTTTAGGTTCTTGCTCAGAACTCTGGTTTTGACCTTCAGGAAACACTAGTTAAAGTTAAAGCAGAGCATTCAGAATCAGGTCAACTTGTGGGTGTAGACTTGAACACAGGTAAGGAGGATGTGACTATTTGTAGGGGGTGAACTAGATACTATAGGTGAGGTAAGACCAGGAAGGACAAAAAAAAAAATGGGAGAGAGAAGAATCTTGGAGTTGCTTTTGCTCTTTGACACCAGTGCTATCCGGGATCTCTGGGTTCTAAAGTATGACACAAAAATGTAATGACTAGATACAGAAATAAAGGGAATTGAGGAGACATTTGAATAATTTAGAAGAGTACAGATTTGTTGATATTGCTGAGTTGTGGTAGGTGGTTTGGGTTAATGTTGAAGGGTTTCATGTTGAGCTTGCTTTACTGTTTTTTATCAGGGACTTTGATTAAAATGATACATTTCATGATCATACTCATGGGTGAAAAAAGGCTGAGGATAGCAAAAAATGCAGGAAGAGGGAACCAAATCTAATAAAATGAGTGAAACCCTGATCTTAGGCCAGTGTAATCCAAATTATACAAGTACAAAGTGGAAGAGAGATAACTGAGATACGTCTGTGCAGTATGTGTAAGACCTATTGTGAACAGCATCATTCACATTCAAGTTAATATAAAAGGTTTCTTTTTTTTAAATTAACTTTTATTGTAGTATAGTTGATTTACAATGTTGTGTTAGTTTCGGCTGTATGGCAAAGTGAATCAGTTATACATATACACATATCCACTCTTAGATTCTGTTCCCATGTAGGTCGTTACAGAGTATTGCGTAGAGTTCCCTGTGCTATACAGTAGGTTACTATCTATTTTATATATATATATAGTAGTGTGTATATGTCAGTCTCAGTCTCCCAATTAATTTAAAAGATTTCTGGAATGAGGGTAATGATAAGCCTGTTTTGCCAGATTATAGTTCAGGTGCTGTACTTTAATATGGATAAATAGGAACGTCTCCAGAAAAACAGATGTTCAAAAATTTGATAACCAAATAGAGCATTCCTATCACTGGAAGCATTCTAAGTAGAGGTCAGTCGCTCATCAAAGCTGCTGTGCACAGGAGTCATGGTCTGGAGTACAACATTGGGCTAAATTGAGGAACTTTGGGTTCTCATAGATAATACTGGAGGAAATGAGTGACCATTGATGAGTGAAGCAGCACAAAATACTCTTATTAGTTCTTTCAGACAGTATTCTGATCATATGACCTGCTCTATATGATTTTAAGAATACTGGGTTACTTTTCAGGTGAGCCAATGGTAGCAGCAGAAGTAGGCGTATGGGATAACTATTGTGTAAAGAAACAGCTTCTTCATTCCTGGTAAGTTTGGGAAAGCCAAAATTATAACATTTGGGGAATATTCATACTCTTTAAAATTGGTATGTTTAATTTTCTTTCCATAAGAAAAGGTAATCAGTCAAAGGCAGCAACTAAGTGAGCCTTCTGTGTATGGAAAGCAAAGGGGAAACCTGACTGGATATAATTTGTGCAATTTAGTTGGAGATTGAGTTGAATTGTGAGTTGAATTAGAGTTCATACCTCAAACCTGAGTAGTCTGATTTTTTTCCCCCCTTTTCAGCACTGTGATTGCCACCAACATTCTCCTGGTTGATGAGATCATGAGAGCTGGAATGTCTTCTCTAAAAGGTTGAATTGAAGCTTCCCTTGTATCATCTGAATCATGAAGATTCTACAGAGTGATCCTAAGAATATAGCTATGGAATTTTTGTCCAAGCTTCAAATGATTTTCAAAGGATTTTCTTTTCCCATATAAAAAAAGGAGAGAACACTGGCATCTGTTCAGATTCTGAAGTTCTGAAATTATAATTACAATATTTTTTAAATTGCACTGTAGTGTACACATACAGGCCATACTTACCAATAAACAGGATGTTTTGCTTTAGCTTCAGTGATATAAAAATACATGTTAGATAAGCATATATTATCTATCGTATTAAATATTCCTTGAAAAACATTTTAATGGTTTAATCTTCTAATGAATGTATTTTAATTTATCTCCAATAGTTTCCCGTCATTAAGCATTTAAGTTTTCAATTTTTATGCTAGTTATAAGTAAGACTTAAGTAACTTAAGGTTTTGAAAGCATTCCTGCTTCCTTAGTATAAATCCTTTTGAGCAGGGGTATCCCCAGCCCCTGGGCAGAGGACCAGTACTGTTCAGCGGCCTGTTAGGAACCAGGCCGCACAACAGGTGAGCAGGGAGCAAGCAAGCAAAGCTTCATTTGCTGCTCCCCATCGCTTGCATGACTTCCTGAACCATCTCCGCCCCCCTCGAAAAACTCTTCTGCGAAACCAGTCCTGGTGCCAAAAAGGTTGGGGACAGCTGCTTTTGAGTAAAAAACACTATTGGATAAATTGGACTTTTCATGCTTTTGAAGTAGCTTTGCTAAACTGCTTCCCAGAAATGTTACGTTGTAGTGAGTAGAAAGATGGAAATAGAGTCAAGGGAGTTGAAAGAGCTGCAAGTCTAAAGTGGCAAAATAGGAAAGGCAGAGGTTAAATACATGGCTGAAGGCGTAGTGACTAAGGACCAGGTGAGGTAAGAGATTTTCAGGCAAGACGGTATTTTTGCACATCGGAACCTTGCTTAGGCTGATATCCCTCCCAAACCCTCTAGTGTCCTATTTTTCTCACCCAAATTACTGTTCTACATGTTGCTACAAAATACAGTAGGTATATTTGAAGACCTTGAAAGGGATGTTGTGTTGCTAAGCTTTGCGTTAGGACTTCGCAGTTGCCTACAGTGAGCGTACAATAAATTGGAAGTTGAAGCCTTTTCTGTGATCTTGCGGTGGTACTCCAGGGCACAAAAGGGAAGGAAATCAGTCCGTCCAAATGTTCACAAGCTAAAGAAGGGGCTTCTGGAATGGCAGGGTCTCTCGACCCCAACGCCGAGAAAATTGACTTAATTACCTGGCGACACTGGAGCTTCGGCCCCAGGACTAATTTCTAGGTGGGGCCGCGTAGAGGAGTAGTGCGCACGCGCGCGCAGGGCACGGCCGCCGACGTGATGCGCGCGGAGCGCGTGCGCAGAGGACCCGCACGGTGGCGCGTCTCCTCGTGGGGCTCCAGGGGTCGTGTTCTCGGCATGGGCACCTCGCTGTCGCCGCTGCTGACTCTGCTGTCCCTCCTCTCCGGCCCGTGGCTCGAACTAGGTCAGTGTGCTGGCCTGCCCAACTGCCCCTGGCGCCTTTCGTCCATGGAGGCAGGAGAAAAAGGGTGGGGCGCTCGGCCCCTGCGGGGAAAGAGACGATGGCCGGTCTGCCAGCGTCCTGCGCTATCTTGCAGCGGCCGGAGGTGCCTCCCAGAGGCGGCCAACTTGGCGAGGTGTATCGCACCTCTTCTATAGTTTTAACTTATTCTGGAATCTTTTGAGCATAAAAAAAGAATAAAACGATCCTCTCCCGTCCACCACGTACCCGTTGCCTAGTTTAAACGGTTGCCAATTTATGGCTTTAACCTTGCTTCTTTGGGACCCTTCCCACTTTCTCCTTCCCCTGGGAAATTCATTTTGGAGTGAATCGAGGCACGATACAATTTTATTCCTCAATATTTAACTTGAATAGCCAAAAAGACAAGAAGTCACGGGAAAAAAAAGTATCACTCACTTTCCCACCTAAAACATTTAACCGTACTCCTTAACACCATTAAACATCCAGTTAGTGTTCAAGTTCACCTACTGTAAATGTTTTAAAATTATAGTTTACTAGTTGAATTAGTGTCTGAATAAAATTAATATATTGTTAGTGTGTGTGTGTGTTTTGTTTTGTTTTGGCTGTGTTGGGTCTTCATTGCTGCGCGTGGGCTTTAGTTGCCGCGAGCGGGTGTCCCGGCTTTTCATTGCGGTGGCTTCTCTTGTTGTGGAGCACGGGCTCTAGGCTCATGGCCTTCAGTAGTTGTGGCACGCAGGCTTAGTGGCTGTGGCTCAAGGACTGTAGAGCACAGGTTTAGTATTTGTGGCGCACATGCTTAGTTGCTATGCGGCATGTGAGATCTTCCTAGATCAGGGATCGAACCTGTCGCGCTGCATTGGCAGGCAGATTCTTAACCATTGCGCCATCAGGGAAGTCTCTGTGTGTTGTTTCTTAACTCCCTTTTAATCTGAGAATTTCCTGCTTTCTTTATTCCAACGCTCACCCCCCTTAAAGTGGACGAAATCATGTGTGAGTGTGTCAGAATGAGAATGAGAAAAGGGGCAAAGATGGGATACTGGGGAACATGAAAAGATGAGGACTCTGCCTTTAGAGAAATTATAGTACTTAGACACTGTTAGGTAAAAACATAACAAAATAGTATGTCAAGCCAGAGAAGTGTGACCTTTTGAAAATAGCACTGACCTGGAAGTAAGGAGACCCGGGTTTCTCCTGTAAAATAGCTCTTTAAGTCATTTCCCTTTTGGGTTTTGGTTTTCCCCTGTCATATGAGGGGGTTGAAATAAAGATCCTTTTAATTCTATGATTTTTGGAGGTATCCAAACAGGAAGTGTAAAGCAGTTCATTCAGTCATTTGATGATAATTATTGTGCACTTGTGCTAGGTGCCAGGGATACACTGGCAACAGATGTAGTTCTTTTCTTTCTGGAGCATATGATATAATGGTGAAAATCATTACGAATTGATAAGAGTTCAAACGAGTGAAAAGGAAGAGTCAGAGAAACATGCGCAGTAGTATGGGTAGAAAGTTGATAGATGTGTTTCAGAGTATAGTGTCTAGATTTATCTCGCTGGGACAAAAGGTTGTCGTGCAGAAGAATAGAGAGGTAAGGAAAGGAACTAAACATTTGTTGAAAACCTACTGGGACTTACCTGGTGGTCCAGTGGTTAAGACTCTGGGCTCCTGATGACTTCCCTGGTGGCGCAGTGGTTAAGAATCCGCCTGCCAATGCAGGAAACACAGGTTCGAGCCCTGGTCTGGGAAGATCCCACATGCCGCGGAGCAACTAAGCCCGTGTGCCATAACTGCTGAGCCTGCGCTCTGGAGCCTGTGAGCCACAACTACTGAGCCTGTGTGCTGCAACTACTGAAGCCCATGCACCTAGGGCCCGTGCTCTGCAACAAGAGAAGCCACCGCAATAAGAAGACTGCGCACCACAACAAAGAGTAACCCCCGCTGACCGCAACTAGAGAAAATCCGTGCACAGCAACGAAGACCCAACGCAGCCAAAAATAATAAATAAATAAAATTAAAAAAAAAAAAAAGACTGTGCTCCCAATTCAGGGGGCCTGGGTTCGATCCTTGGTAAGGGAACTAGATCCCACATGTATTCCACAACTAAGAGTTTGCATGCCGCAACTAAGACCCGGGGCAAACAAAATTAATTTTTTAAAAAAAGAAAGAAAACCTACCATGTGCTAAACATTTCACACATTATTTTAATACAGCCATGCATTTGAGTTAGATATTATCCCCATTTTGTAGATGAAGAAATTGAAACCCAGACTAAGTAATTTGCCCAAGGTCACCCAGCAAATTAAGTGACAGACAAGAATTTAAAGCCAAAATTTTTTTTTTTAATAAATTTATTTATTTAATTTTGGCTGCGTTGGGTCTTCGTTGCTGCACGCGGTCTTTCTGTAGTTGCAGCAAGCGCGGGCTACTCTTCATTGTGGTGTGTGGGCTTCTCATTGCGGTGGCTTCTCTTGTTGGGGAGCACGGGCTCTAGGCGTGTGGGCTTCAGTAGTTGTGGCACAAGGGTTCAGTAGTTGTGGCTTGCGGGCTCTAGAGTGCAGGCTCAGTAGTTGTGGCACACAGGCTTAGTTGCTCTGCGGCATGTGGGATCTTCCCAGACCAGGGCTCGAACCCATGTTCCCTGCAATGGCAGGCAGATTCTTAACCACTTTGCCACCAGGGAAGTCCTAAAGCCAAATTTTTTAAGCTTCCATTGTTTTTTTCATTATAGCATTATGAGTTTTACATATGATCCAAATATTGCCACTTCTTTTATATATATTAGACTCTTTTTTTCTCTGCAGGGAATGGGCAGATGACCAACATGGTCCAGCTACCAGGTGGGAGATTCCAGATGGGAACGAATTCACCAGATGGCAGAGATGGTGAAGGACCTGTCCGGGAGGTGATGGTAAAACCCTTTGCCATCGACATATTTCCTGTCACCAACAAAGACTTCAGGTACATCCAGTGTTCTTCCAGGAGAAGTAAAGGCTATTCTAATCTTCATAATATTTAAAAGGAGATTAGCTTGTTCACTACCACATATCATCTTTGCAATGGTACAGTGAGATAAGTGTTATCTACGTTTTTAAGATGAAGAATCTGAAGTCCAGGGACTTCCCTAGTGGCACAGTGGTTAAGAATCTGCCTGCCAATGCAGGGGACACGGGTTCGATCCCTGGTCTGGGAAGATCCCACATGCCGCAGAGCAACTAAGCCCGTGCGCCACAACTTCTGAGCCTGTGCTCTAGAGCCCACGAGCCACAACTACTTAAGCCCTCACACCGAGAGCCCATACTCCGCAACAAAGAGAAGCCACTGCAATGAGAAGCCCGTGCACCACAACGAAGAGTAGCCCCTGCTCATCGCAACTAGAGAAAGCCCGCATGCAGCAACGAAGACCCAACGCAGC